CACACACACACACACACACACACACACACACACACACACACACACACACCACTAGACACACCACACACACTCACTCACTTACTCACGTGCGCAGCATTACAGCATGGCAGCACATACGGCAGCACAGGCCTGCCGACCATCGCACAGCTGCCTGCTGCGGCAACCACAGCACCCCCCTCCAGAGACCCACCAGCACGGGGAGCCTCATCATGTCGCCATAGAGTGCTGCCTCCTGCCCCATCGCCCTCTCAGCCGCGGCGCTGGCGCTGTGACCCACAATGAAACGCACCACCACCCCGTGGCGGCGCTCCCACCTGTACTTACAGGTAGGCAGGTGGGCGACGGTGCAGTGTCCGTGCAGACCAGGGGCGGATGATGCGTCACGCAGCAGCAAGCGAGCCAATGGCTGCGCCGCGGGCGCGGCAGGGTGCTGCTGTTGTGGTGCATGCATTTGTTGCATGGGTTGTCAAACAGACTTAGAGCTGTTGCTGTTGCTGCACGGCTTTGGCTGCCCACGGATAGCCTGTAAGAGGGGTGTACAAACAAGTTGGTCCAAGCATGCGGCCAAGCAAACGCGCTCACTCGTCAAAGCTGCTCCTCACAGCAGAGAACCACGTCTTGCGGATGGCGGCCCGGCGGCGCTCGTAGTCGTACTGCAGCGAACAGCACCAGAAGGGGCGAGATTTACATGCCATAACAGGAAGGGGAGTGGACAGTTGAGCGGCTCCCATGCGCGCGTGCACGCGCACTTCGGCGCTGAGCGGGCAGGAGGGCCTGCACGCACGCCGGCGACGGAAAAGCGCTGACCCTGACGCGGGGGGGTTGGTGCGCCGGCCCCCACCTGCCCTGTGCGGGCAACCTGCTGCTGCTGGCTGTATTGCAAGTGCTGTCTTGGCGCACCTTGTCGTCATCACTCGGGTTGTGCGGCACCGAGAACGACGAGAAGATGCCAACGAGTGCGCGAAGCTTCTTCCGCTGGGGCTTTGGGGGTTTGCCCACAGTGCCGCCGCAGCCTCCATGCGATGGGTCTACAAGCCCTGGCAGGTGGCCACTGGTGGCGTGCATGGCGCCCGGCAGGAGGCCAGCGGCTGTGCTGAGATGGGCCTGCAGCAAGGCGCCGGCGAAGAATGCCGCAATCAGCACAACGCACGCGCCCAGACGGCTTGCCGCAGCACGCCGGTGCGCCTCCTCTGCGTGCAGAAGCCGCAATTTGTAAGACGGCTTATCACAGGTTGGGGTTAGGCTGACCATTGTTTCCCGAGTGCGATTTTGCAGATTTCACTTGGTTGCGGCAATCGAATCCGCAGGGTCTTGTTCAGCACACAACGCGTCACAGAAAGTGGCGACAATCACCAGATTCCAATGGCCCAAAGACCAGGTGAATGCAGGGAGGCGCGAAATGGTTGTCCTCGCTGACCTTGGACCTCGGCGAGCTACCTCTCTCTGAGCGCTCAAATACAGCAACATTCACTCAAATAAGGCACCTACTACTGGTTGACAAATCCGTTTGAGTCGCAGTCATCTGGGCGTGTTGCACGGATCACGGGTGAGCTGTGGCTGCAGGGCGTGTGGGTAGGTGCTCAGATCGGTGAATCGGTCCCTTGCGTCTCGTACATGTTGGTCAGATGGAAGCCCCCCTCTCAACACCCCCACCCCTCACCCATTGAACAGGTCACCAGGCGCGTGTCCCTTCATAACCCCGGTCAAACACGTCTGTCATGGCAGCGGCGCCGCAGGCGCTTGCCCTGCTCCTGGTCCTTGGGGCCACCTGGAGCGCGGCAGCCTCTTCTGCGACGCGCCTCCTGCCCCAGCTCATCTCCGGCGTCCCTATGCCCGACAGCCTCCTGCTGACTGAGCACCTTGGGACCATGCTGCATCACCTGGCGATCGCGCCGCCGCTCCACACCCAGCCCCTGGCGCGCCGCCTGATGCAATCCGACAGCAGCAGCGCCGAAGGCGAGGGCGCCTCAGAGTCGGGGCCGCTTCAGCAGCAGCAGCAGCAGCAGGATGCACAGGTGCAGGGGCAGCCCCCAGAGGCGCAGATGCGTGCCGGCTTTGGTGCCAAGCTCCTGGCGTCGTCGGCCGCCAGTGTTCTGGGGGGCATGCTGCCGAGCGAGTGGGACTACAAGATCGTCGGCGGCAAGACAGCGCCCCCCGCACGGTTCAAGGTGAGAGCGCTTGCCGTGAAGGGAGTCATCCTGCAACGCCAAGGAAGGCGCTTGCCCCTGCGATGTCTGTCTATCCATCTGCGGCTCATGCTTGTCCATCCATTTTGGCCGCGCCCGGCACCCACTGCAAACCAGCCCGCATACGACTCGGTAGCAACACCCCACCCTTTCCCTTGACTCCCCGCCTTTCAGTGGTTCTGCAGCATGAGGTCTGCAACAACGGACTTCCATTTCTGTGGCTGCTCCCTCATCGCGCCAAACGTCGTGCTCACGGCCGCCCAGTGAGTCGCGCACCAGCAGGAGGCTGGGCTCCAGTGCGTGAGGCAATTGCAGCTGGGCTGTTACACGGATGCTAATCAAATCACGCACGAGATTTGTGCTGCGGTCATGGATGCCCTCACCCGCGGAGCGGAAAGCTGTTTTCAAACTTGCGACCCTCCCGGGCTGGCCCCAAACCTCCACCTGCGCCCGCGCAGCTGCCTGGACCAGGCTAGCAACGCCCTCAAGTATCCCATGATCGAGGTTGGGAGGTAGGGAGAGAGTGCAAAAAGGAAACGCAATACGGTTGGTGGGGGTGCAGTGCAGATTTAGTGCAACTCCTTCCATGCAGTGCAAGATCATGCTCCTGTCTGTAGAGCCAAGCCATCAGGGCCGAGCGCTCGGCTGCGCAGGATCGCTCAGCGAGCAGGCCGGCCTGGCAACTGGAGCTCAGAGCCGCCTGGCAGCTCGAACACGTGTACTTTTCGCGCAGCTACCCAACAAAAACCTGCCTGCCAACCTCCACCCCAACCGCAGGTACTTCCGCACCGCAGCCAACAGCACGGCGGCCTCCCTCATCGACAACAACTACGACCGGGCGCGCTGCACGCGATCGGTGGTCCACGCGGGCTGGACGCCCTCGACAGCGCGCAATGACATTGCGCTGTGCTTCTTCAACGGCGCGTCCAGGTTCACCCCTGTGCGGCTCGCGCAGGGTGAGTAGACCAATCGGACAAGATGGCGCTGAAGGGCCAGGGAGGAAGTACATGCGCGCGTGTGTGCATTTGCATGTATGTGTGTGGCATGTGCGCGTGCATATGTGTTGTGTGAGTGTGTTCAGTGTGACGCACGCATCAGCACTCATGTGCGTGTGTGACGAAAGCTACAGATCAGCAACAATGCTTTAGTGAGAGTGCAGGCTGCTTTTTTGCAGATGATGAGAGCACTGCACTGCTGAGGCGGGTGTCCCCACGTGCTGGCCGCCTTCCCACACCCTCGTCCCTGCATGCTGGTCGCTCACACCCACCCACGCCCACTTGACCCCTCCCTTCATCTCCCCGCCGTCGCCCAGCCGGCAACGACACGCTGCCTGACGGCACGCCTCTGACGGTGATTGGCTTCGGTCTAACCAAGGAGGGCGGCACCGCGTCCGAGTCGCTGATGATGACCAACGTTGACGTCATCAGCCCCGCCGGGTGCAACATCAGCTACGCGGGCATGCTGGGCGACGCGCAGGCGCAGATCTGTGCAGGTGGGGCGGCGTGGGGCTGGCGGGCCAGGGTCAACCGCACAGCCCATTGGGGCGCAAGGCGGGGGTGGTCAGCTGGATCAGTCTCAGGTATTGGCGTCGTGTGGAGGGGTGGGGCTGCGGTCTTTGCGCCCTCCCACTCCCTAGCACGTGCAAGGGCCCTGCTGCTGCGCTGGGGGTCCAAGGGCGAGGGTCCGCCCGGTTGCGCTGTGCACCAGGCGTGCAGAGGACGCCCGACCGCGCCGACCGCCCCTCCCCTTCCGCCGCACCCCCGCAGGCGTGCCCTCGGGCGGCGCCGACGCCTGCCAGGGCGACAGCGGCGGCCCCCTCTTCGCGCCCGCCGCCGCGGCCGGCGGCGCCGCCGCGGCGGACACCCAGTTTGGGGTCGTCTCGTTCGGCAGCGGCTGCGGCCGCAAGGGCTTCCCGGGGGTATACACTGACGTGCGGGCCTACGGGGGCTGGATCCAGCAGCAGATTGCGCTCGCCGCAGGCGGCGCGGACACGCCCGCGGACGCCACCACAGTCACGACCTCAAGCAGGCCCCAAACTGCGACGGCGCCGGGGCAGGCGGCAGCCGGCGGCGGCGCGTGCGGCTGCACGGCGACGGGGGTCAGCGGCGGCGTGGATGTGGGCAAGGCGGATTGCGCGCAGCACGGACTGGACTACGGCGATGACTCATACTTCTGCTATGTGAACACGCCCGCCGACTGCGCGCCCGCGACGGCATCGACCGCCTACCCAGGTGCTGCCTGGATCGCGTGCGCGCCGGCCGCGGCCGCGCGGGCGGCGCCGCTGGGGGCGGGCACGCCGACCACAGCAGCCACAGCGGCGGCGGCGGCGCCGGCTGCGCAGCGCGGCGTGCGGGCTGGCGCGCTGCTCAAGGGGTGGCAGAGGCTGGGGCGTTGAATGGAATGCGGGACGCATCTAGTGTCCCACAAGTGGGGAAACCTTGCAGTCCTAGCTCAATCGCCTCCTGGTGGGTCTCTTGCAACACGAACCAGTGATATATTATGATGGGGGGGGGGGCGGGGTGAGCCTAGGCAATGCGCGATCGCCTTTTGTTTACAAAAACCTGCCCCCCAAAGCGTGGCTTCACTGTAAAATGCAGCCATGTACAGGCGTTGCGGCGACGGCCAGGGCATTGAACCCCAAGGGCCGGATTGGACGGGAAGGGACTACAGCACCCAGCTCTTCCCACGCGAATTCCTTCGCACGGTACTAGGCCAGGCCCAGCCACAGCTTTCGGAGATCTCACGGGATCCGAGCCGTTGTTTGAGCTGGTGAGAGCCGTAATCCCTGGGTTCCGAGGCGTGCAGAGTATTTGCGGGCGGGCATTGTGGTTGTGGCAACATGAGGCTGCATGGGAGGCCGAGGGCAGCAGCGTTGCTTTGCAGCCTTGCAGGTGGCTGAGGTAGGGGCGAGGCGGCTGCGAGAGCCTGAGGGCGCTCAGCCGAGGAACAGGGGCGCGAGGGCCTCGAAACCAGGCGCCGGCGCCAGCCGGGGAGCCGGCACCGGGCTGCGCCGCGCTGCGACCGAGCCCTTTGTGCGCGCCTTCTTGGCCGGCGGCGGAGGCGGCGCCGACGCGGCGCAGTCGTCGCTGGTCGGGCCACTGACGGCTCCGTTGAGGCTGCTGGCGCTGCTGCATGCTGCGTGGCCCACTCGCCGCCACGAAAAACCTGCTGCACCAATGCCAAAATCCACGGTGCCGGACGAGGAGCCCGACGACGGCGAAGCCGGCAGGGCGGCGGCGCGCTTGGCAGCTTTGGGGCCGGGCTTGCCGCGCACGGCCTCCCTGGCGACGCTGAGGCCGAGGAACTCAGAGACCTGGCGGTAGTTTCGGAAAGACTGGCCACAGGGGCTGTAGTAGTACTGCAGGTGTTGTAGCGATGGGGAGGGGCGTCAGGAGGGGTCCAAGGGGGTGCAGGGGGGGAGGGGGACAGGTCCAGAAGCGGACGGTTGGCGCAGCGCTCACGTTGTCGGTGGTGCGCCCCATCTTGCCGTTCCGTCTTGCAGTCACGCGGAAGCGCATGCGGCAGGACCAGCCGTCCTCCCAGACACCATCTGCGAGGGAGCAACAAGAAGGACGTTCCCGTTCAGCAAAGATGCTGGCACGGTCGCAAAGCCAAGCTCAGCAAGGCCGGAGCCCTCGCCAAGGCCAGGGTTGTTACCATGTAGTAGCACAAACTGCCGCAACTTGTCAAGAGCTTCGCGCTCCTTGTGGGCCTGCTCCTCCTGCGGCGAGGGGGCGAGAGCAGCAGCGGCCGCCGTTTGCCTCTGTGCCGCTTAGGGGCCGTCAGCGGCACTCATCATACCCCCAAAACACGCTCAAAGGCGTACCGGTGTCGGCAGAGCACTGGCAGCGTCCAGCGAGAGATCCATGGTTGAGGCTGCTCCAGTGAAGGTCTACGATGCGTCGCCTGTTGATGATGTTTGCTTTGCGAGCGCAGTGCGAGCGAGTGTGTCGCACGGTGAGCAGGGCAGACCCTACGCAATTGACCATTCGCACCTGTGGGAGGTGCGGAGGCGTTGGCCTTGCGAGGACACAGCTATCAGAAACGCAGCAAAAACCACAGTCGCATCCCGTGTTCTAGAAAATTGCGCACAAGGCGCAGGCCGGGCAAAGGCTATTGATGGGCTCGCCGTTCATGTTACCCCTCCGCCCCGGGATCCCACATGACCATGTGCTGCCACGCCCAAGTGCTGGTCCAGCCTTCCCCGGCAAATGTTTGTATCAGGTGGAGCATGTGAGTTTTGTGTGAAACAGTTTTGCATCCAGTATGGCAGCAGGTCGTCGGGCGAATTGCGAACCGTGCCGACCCGTGAGCTGTCCGCCCGAGCCTTGAGTCCTGGCACTGAGCCACAGGTACTGTCAAGTTGGGGCTAATTCCACAGCAAGATCTGTTGCAAATGGTGGCCTTCTCAACCCGATTTGAGTCGTCAAGGGAGAGGTTGCAAGTGGTGGCGGCATTACTGGGCGTCATCTGCAGCCAAGGAGGATGAGTACCCCACACACCACAAGACTGTTGTCATATTGTGTTGTGTGCGTGAGGCACATGAGCAGAGGGTGCCACATACTGTAAGCAGCAATGTAGTTGAGTTCAGCAATTTTTGAAGGGATCGTATCGCCTCAAGCACATGAAGGCATTTTTGCTAGCACCTGAGACGACAACTTGTTATGTATGTTCCCAGTGCTTTGAGTGGACAAAAGTGCTCAAGCCCTTTGTGCCACCTGCCTTTTCAACATGAAGATCCTCAAGGCAGTTGTTCCGGCATTGATAGCATGAGCTCTCTCGAGCCATCACCAGCGCGGCCCGCAGCCGCCCCCGAACCACCACCCTCCAGCGAGCGGGACGAGACACGCACGCTGAGTGGTGCAAGCCCCATGCATATTGTGCTACTTTTGCGCTGATGACGAGGGGTTTGAGTTGGAGCAGCCCTAGAGGAGCCCAAGGTATGGGAGCACAGGCTATCTTCCACAGCGGCCCCACCAGCAACTTCAACTTTAGCGGCGCCTGGGTGCGTTGCTGCTTGGTTGCATGGCCCAGGCACCTTTCTTGATGCGAAGCGACCCATTTGTAGCATACGCGGACGCCACCTAAATGCTCTGGGCACACTTAATGGCCAGCGGAGGGCTGAGCGCTGGGGGCGCAAAGGGCGAGCCCAGCCGCATCATGGCCTAGACGGCCCTCGCCTGGTGCAATATCTACCGACCCCCCACCCCTGAATCAGCCGTGTCTGGAGTGTGTTGTGCAATAACGTCAGTTGTCGTTGCATTTTTGACAAAACACAATCGTTCACTCGGTGTTTGGCGGAAGGTCTGTACCCATGCCTCTTTGCACAGGTGCCCCGTGGCCCTTTGCCCGCGCCCCCATGTCGACTCCGTCCTCCCTCTCCTCTTCAAGAGCGTACTTGCGCTACTCCAGGTACAAACTCCTATCGTAATACGAGCCCCCAAGATACGTGCGTTGCAAGGCTTTTCACCGTGCTTGCACTGGCTTGACCACGAAACGCGAGCAAAAATGACGGTGGAGACAGTGGAATCCATGGCTCATACAAAAGGAAAAGCACCCGAGGAGCCCCCGCTCGTACGCGGAGGCAAAGACTGGGTAAGCTGCGGGCCCAAGAATGCCATCCTCCTGCCTCGGAGGTTGCAGCACCTCGCGCGGCGCTTATGACCATTATATACTCTGTATTATCGCGATTCGATGTATCGGCGAGCGTCTTGCTATGCCGCCACATGCCCCCCAGAAGGGGCCATGTGATGCACACTGCTCTGCTGCTGCGTGATGCGCAATCTGCCCGATGCGCACAACCCAGCCCCCGCATGAGCCATATTCAGGCCTTGGAATATACCCAATACATTATCAGCTGCCGCTGCCCCGCATCCAACGCGGCGTCCCCCCGGCCCCTGGCGCATGTGCCCCCTCTCGCACCCGCGCACAGGCCCTCCATGTGCCTGCCACCGCTGTTGACGCGAAGGACGCCGACACCCCCGACAACTGGGTGCCCCGCGACCCCCGCATCGTGCGCCTCACCGGCCGCCACCCGCTTAACTGCGAGCCGGCCATGCAGGACCTCATGGCAGCCGGCTTCATCACGCCGCCGTCCATCCACTACGTCCGAAACCACGGCGCCGTGCCCAAGCTCGACTGGGCGACGCACAGGTGCGCGCGCTGCGCCGCCCCCTGCCTGAAATCCCAAGGCCAGGCCGGCTCGGCCCCTCCGCCGCCGCCTCCGCGCCGCTGACTCGCCCCTGCGGCTGCCAACCAACCCCCGCCCGGTGCTCGCCGAGCGCCCTTTCCTTTGCCAGCCTGCCTTCCAACAGAGAGCCCCCGGCCAACCTCTCCTGTCCGCCTCACCACACGCGTTCGCGCTCCCAGGATCGACATCAGCGGCCTGGTGGACCGCCCCTGCTCAATGAGCATGGACGAGCTCCTGACGCTGCCGTCGGTCACGCTGCCGGTGACGCTGGTGTGCGCGGGCAACAGGCGCAAGGAGGAGAACATGATCAAGAAGTCGATCGGATTCAACTGGGGGCCCTGTGCTGTGTCCACCAGCTACTGGACGGGTGGGTGATCTTACTGGTGGCGAGCCACGCCCCCCCGCGCTGCGCTCTCTTGGGTTTGGGGTTGGGCGTGGTAGTTTTGGGGGCTGTACATAGGGTGGCGGTGCTCCTCAGGCTGGCCTGCTGCGCCGCCCCGCCCGTCCCCGCAACCCGGGCCGCCACGCGGCAACCCCCCAGGCGTGCGCCTCGGCGACCTGCTGCGCCATGTGGGCGTCGACACCAGCGGCGCCGCCAAGTACGTGTGCTTCAGGGGCCCGCTGGGGGAGCTGCCGAAGGGCAGCGACGGCTCTTACGGCACCAGCGTGCGCCTGCCCTACGCGCTGGACGACAGCAACGACGTGCTGGTCGCGTACAAGCAGAACGGTGCGCGCTTGCGTACGGGCATGCGTTTGTGTTCATGCGCACATTGGTTTTACAGTGCACAAGTCGGGCTGGGGTTTGGGTTGTGGCGCGGCCAGGCAGGGTTGCGCAGACCCAGGCTTTCGCCTCGGGGCAGAACGCGGCTCCCACTCAATAGCTTCCACGGCAGCAGGGCAGCATGGCTGACCCCAGCGCTGCCGCCCGCGGTCTCCGTGCCGCCTGCAGGCCGCTGGCTGACGCCAGACCACGGGTTCCCGGTGCGCATGCTGATCCCTGGGTTCATCGGCGGCCGCATGGTCAAGTGGCTGTGCCACATCACCGTCACCGAGCAGGTGCGCCCGCCTGCGGGTGCGCTGGAGGAATCGACGCCGCACACGCTCTAGGTCGGGAAAGCAGGGGCTGTGAGGGCCCCTGCCAGCGCAGGCGACAGCGGCGCCCTGGCGCGAGGCAAGCCGGCCCGGGCCGCCTGCGCGGCCTTTGATTTTGCCACAGCAGGGGCTGCTGGCCACGCGGTCAGCCTTTGGCCCTCTCTCAACATTGGACCGATTTATCCTCGGACTTCGCCGCAGGAGTCGGACAACCACTACCACTACATGGACAACCGCGTGCTGCCGCCCCACGTCGACGCTGAGCTGGCGACGAAGGAGGGTGAGCCGACTCCTGCACCCACAACCGGCGCGCCTGGCGCGCCGCGCCTGGACCTGTCAGAGCGGTCTTGTGTTGGGGCGGGGGTAGGGTCAAGACTGCAGGGCGCGGGGGCCTCGTGAGCCGCCGCGACGCCGCTGCTTTCGCGCTTGCCGGCTGCCTGATTTCGCAGCTGGCGTGAACCCCTTGGCAAGGCAGCCTCGTATTGCAGCTATGTCTTTGGGCTCTGTCTTTCATCTGAAACCTCCCCCTGCCTCGCCTGGGGCCCCTGCCTCGCCCTCCCCGCCCCCCAGGCTGGTGGTACAACCCCGACTTCATCATCAACGAGCTCAACATCAACAGCGCCATCAGCCGCCCCTGGCAGGACGAGGTCGTGCCCCTGGCCACCAACCGGCCCTACGAGATGAGCGGCTACGCCTACACCGGCGGCGGCCGGAAGGTCACGAGGGTCGAGATCTCGCTGGACGACGGCGCGACGTGGAAGCAGGCGGAGATCAAGCGCTTCGAAGAGCCCACTTCGTACGGTGAGCGACTGGCGGGGGCCGCACGCCGGAGGCCTGCGGTGGTTGCTGCAGCCTGCGGCGGCGCCTTGGGCGGCTTGCAGGGGAAGCCGAGGGCATGTGGCGGCCGGCGGGGAGGGGACGACGTCCAGGCTGTTTGATTTTGAGCCGCTGGCGCGGCGCATATGTGTGGAGCTAATCCCTCCCTTTGGCTGCCCTGCAAGGCTCATGCATTCGCTGCTCGCCGTCCCCCCCTATTTCCCACCCCCAGGCAGGTACTGGTGCTGGGTCCACTGGTCCTTCCAGGCCACGACCTTTGACTTCCTGGGCTGCAAGGAGGCGCTGGTGCGCGCGTGGGACAGCAGCCAGAACGGGCAGCCGGCATACATCACGTGGAACGTGATGGGCATGATGAACAACTGCTACTACCGCGTGAAGATTCACCGCCAGGTGGACGACCAGGTGCGCCACCAGGGGGGGACATGAGGTGGTTTTTTTGAGTGGTTTGAATCAGGGTTTTGCTCAGGGGTTTCCGATTTTGGGGTTTCGCTGATGTTGGTGCTGCAAGAAGTGCGAGCTTTCAGATTCAAAGGCTTTGGGCTTGCGCATCTGCTTGGGGAGGCGAGTGAACCACCTGGGGGTTCACGGCGCCTGCAGCGGTCCGGACAGCAGTGTGCAGCTCGCGCCATCAGTAGCAGGGTGAGCCTGGTGTATATCCTTCCCCGACCCACCCTTCCTTGCTCACATGGCGCCCCCCCACCATCCCCCTTCGCGGCGCAGGGCAACATTGGCCTGCGCTTCCAGCACCCGGCGCCCGTGCCGGTGGGCGAGCGGGGCAACGTCGGCTGGCGCGAGGAGGAGAACCTCGCGCGGCAGGGGCTGGCGGACGCCCAGGCGGCGGCGGCGGCGCCGGTGGTGGCCAAGGTCGCGCCCACCAGCGGGGTGCGGCTGATTACGATGGAGGAGGTGGAGAAGCACACGACTGAGGAGAGCGCTTGGTTTGTTCACGAGGGCAAGGTGAGGGGGCGGGCAGCTGCTGTGAGGGCCCTGGCTGGCCGGTCGCCGGCTGCGCACCCGCGGTGGTAGTTTCCAACAGACGCCAGGGCACAGCTAGGGAGCTCGGGGGCTGGGGCCCAGGGCCGCCACCACCTCAGCGCTTTGCAGGCTGGGCCCCGTCGGCCGAGGCCGGCCCGCGCTGGCAGCTGCGCGCTCGTGCCGGCCTCGCTTCTCAGAAGCGGCCGCACCAGGCAGCCTCCCACGCCGCCCCGCCGCTCGCCTGCAGACCTCTAGAGTCTGGCACCGACACCCATCCACCCCAACCGCGTCCCCACCAACCGCCAGGTGTACGACGCGACGCCCTTCCTGGCAGACCACCCTGGCGGTGCCGAGTCAATCCTGATCAGCACGGGCATGGACGCGACCGACGAGTTCAACGGCATCCACTCCTCAAAGGCCAAGGGAATGCTCGCCGATTACTACATCGGCGACCTGGCAACGCCCGAGCAGGTGGCGGCGGCGGCGGCGTCCAAGGAGGCGGGCGCCAGCGTCACGATCAGCGTCGTAGCCAACGGCGTGCACAAGGGCGCGGCCGCGCCCGCGCCCGTGGTCAACGGCGTCGGCGCCGGCGAGCTGGTGGCCCTCAACCCGCGGAAGAAGCTGGCGGTGCCGCTGATCGAGCGGCGGGAGCTCAGCCACAACGTGCGGCTGTTCCGGTTCGGACTGCCGTCGCCGCAGCACAAGGTGCGCGATGCTGCCGCACGTGGCGCCCCTCTGGAGCCCCCTTGGGACCGCGCCGGCCTGCTCCCCACCTCGTCGTCGCCCCACCTCCCTTGAGAATACAAGCAATCCACCTTGCATGCTGCGTTTCGCATCCCTGCCTCACCGCCCTTCTGCTGCCGCTCCAGCGTCGCCCTTTGTGCTGCCTCTGCTGCCAACCCCCCTCCCATCCCTTTATCTCCAATGCGCAGTTCGGGCTGCCGACCGGCAAGCACGTGTTCCTGTACGCCAACATCGACGGGGAGAACGTGATGCGCGCCTACACGCCCACGTCGAAGGACGCCGACCTGGGGTACTTTGACCTGGTCATCAAGGTCTACAGGTGAGGGGCAGGCGCGGTAAAACATGTGTGCGTATGCCTCTGTGTGTGTATACCTCTGTGTGTGTGTGAGCGCTTCTGATTTGTTTGCGTGAGTGAGCGTTTGGGCTGTTTGTGTGTACACACGCAACGACCTTGGCTTGTCTGGCCTGCCTTTGAGACTGACTGTGATGCTGCCTGCTCACTGCCCAGCACTACCGGCTCCTGCTGACCCTTGCCTCCAACCTTCTTAACAACCAACCCCGCCTCTCTCAGGGCCAACGAGCACCCCAAGTTCCCCGACGGCGGCAAGATGAGTCAGCACCTGGACTCCCTGGCGCTGGGGGACGAGGTGGAGGTCAAGGGGCCCGTGGGGCACTTTGTGTACACCGGCCGCGGCACATACACTCTCAACAACAAGCCCGGTGAGCACGGGCTCCGTGTGAGGCAGGACACTGCCTATGATTGCTTTGCAGAAAAGGAAACATCAATCATCTGCAAAAGGAAGCTTGTTGCAGGTTGCATGAAAGCGCTGGCTTCGTTTCAGGCTACCCAGTGCAGGCGAGCACAACTCTTTTGCAACCCCCCTCTGATGTCTGTCTGCCTCCTCTCCCGCCCGCCTTGTCCCGCAGCCACCGCCAAGCGCATCAGCCTGATTGCGGGCGGCACAGGCATCACGCCCTGCTGGCAGGTCATCCGCTCCATCTGCGAGGACCCCGAGGACACAACACAGGTGGGGCCCCGGTGGAGTGGCTGGACACCTGGCAGGCAGCTGGACGCGTGCGGCTGGGGGCGCAAGGCGCCAAACCCGTCTGCCTGCCTGCCTGCCTGCCTGCCTGCCTGCCTGTGCGCGGCAGTTCTTGACCCGAGCTGACCGCTGCCTGTAGGTGCATTGCAAATTCACGGTCACCTTTGCAGGAATGCTGTTCTCGTCTTTGCCTTGCCGCGCCCCTTGCGCCATCCGTGGGCGGTTGGTGTCTGTCCTCTCACCCAGGACGCCGCCCGCCCGCCCGGCCGCATTGTCGACCGCAGGTGTCGCTCATCTACGCCAACCAGACGGAGGGCGACATTCTGCTGCGCGAGGAGCTGGAGGCCATGGCCGAGGCGCGGCCGCAGAATTTCCACCTGCACTACACCTGCGACAGGTGCGCGCGCTCTTGGAGCGCGGCGCGGGGCGGCAGCGGGCGCAGTGCTTGCAATCGCGGCCGCGCCGGCGGCAGCGGCAGAGTGCGCCCGTTGCCTCAAATCAGCCATCTGAACACGAGAGGGGCCTGTCTCCAGGCGTCCGTACAAACGCCCCTGACCGCATTCCCTTGCCAACCCTGGTGCCACCTCTCCTCTCCTGATCCACCGGACAGGGAGGTGTCTGAGGGCTGGAAGTACAGCGTTGGGCACATCAACGAGGCCATGATCCGGGAGCACCTGCTGCCCGCCGGTGACGACTCCATCGTGGCGATGTGCGGGCCGCCCGGTATGATCAAGTTCGCCTGCATCCCCAACCTTGAGAAGGCCGGCCACAAGGAAGAGGCGCTCATCCAGTTCTGATCCGGGGCGGCCGTGGCTGCTTGCGTAGTTGGCAGCGGCTGTTGACTGCCCACGGCGGCGTTTGTTTTTTGCACGTGCGTCGGTCGGAACACCATGCATCGTCTCGGCCCTTCGTGCGCGCGTATACATACAGGCGCCGCGCGGGCGATCTTTGTTCACGGGTGCGTGCGGGCACCGCGGCACAGACCTGCCCGGCCCCCCACGTGGAGGCACGCGCCAGCGCGTGCCGGACGGCCCCGGTCTCTTTGCATTTGTTTGTCGTTCTGATGATCCATTGAGCGAGCAAGCACGGTCCAGCTCTGGGGGCGTCCAAGGGCCCGTTGCGCCCACCCCCTACGCCGTTACCTCCAGCGCTGAGGTTTGTACAGTCCCCCTCCCCCAACTCCACCGCCACCTAACCGAAGCTTGCTTGAAGAAGTGCAGGGATACTGCCGGTTAAATTAGTCGCTCAGCACTGCCCCTGAGCGCTTCCAAGGTGACATTCACCTACAGTGGTTTTTCGCGTAGTACATTGTTGGAGAGGCGGCTCGACCTGCACACACCCTGCCCATATTTGCTCCCCCCGCGCACGCACGCCCTGTGTGGAGTTTGGCGCATTCCCATCTCCTTGGCAGCGCCCAACCCTTGAAACTGTAAGCATATTCACCTGATGACAATGCTTTGAATGTTCTCTCTTTCCAGCAGCTTGGGGCATGGGGCTGTTGTATGTGCTTTCCTTGTCAGCAAGCGCAGCGATGATGTGGAAGCTACCGTTGCAACTAATCCAACTTCATGCATCCAAGTAAGACTGGTTACAGCCCGCTGGGCCTGCAACCCTCCTGCTTGCGATGCTTTTTGCTTGTGGTATGGGACCCCAGTCCGTTGGAAACCACAAACCTATGCAGCTGAGCAGCTGCATAGGTGCCGGGCGGCCAAATTCCAGCACGCAGTCATGTACAAGGGATTCTGCACCTATGCACGACTAACATTCTCACCCACCGCCTGCATCCGCACTGCACGCTGCAGGATCCGTCCTTGAAAAGCATTGATTACAGCCGCGTGCCCATCGCCATCGCGCGGCGCAGCGTTGGCACTGCACAACTGGACCAGAAACCGTCCTTAGAAGGCTGGCCATGAGCGGGGGAAGGGGGATGCATATCGTTTGTATCCGTGTGACCAAATTTCTCATCAACCTACCATGTACACGAAACGCGAGGGCCAGACACATTAGGATGCAACAGCCACCACAATTTCGCCACACAGGTATGATACTATGGGGAGCCAACCCAGCAGGGGCCCATGGCGGGAGGTCTTAACCCCGGCACCAGGGGGTTGAGGTGGGGGGGGGGGGCTGCAAGCCATCAAAGGCCGTTGGTGGCCAAATGGTCCCCATGCACTGCCTGCAGGGGGTGGAATCGAGCATCCTAAACCAGGGTGGTGCAGCCCCTTACAGTCGTCATGTCGCGGGGCTACAAGGGAGGGCGGCCCCACGACAGGGGGCCCCGGGTCAAGCACGCTGGCTTATTTGCAGCCAACGGACGGAGCGGGCAGCGCGCAACAGACGCAATCGCAACCAAGTTATGCAACAAAGGACACCCAATGCCCTGGGGGGCTGCGGCGCTTTGCAGATTCTGGCAGGTGGCCCAAGCGAAAGCCCTCTGCCATTGCCGTCGTCGGCAACTGCGCGCCGCTCACACAGTGGCGAGCGGCGCCGAGGCGCGCTCCCCCTCCGCCGCCTGCGCAGTTGCCTTTGCCGCGGCATCCTTTGCCGCCGCATGCGCCGCGGCGGCCCCCGGGATGCGCGCCATCAGCTTGGCCTCGCTGCGGGTGCGCGCCCACTGCGCAGCGCCGTGCATGAGCAGCCACGAGGCGCCAATGTACATGAAGATCAGCGCGATGACAGAGGGGATGATGGCCTTCCAGGCGCGGTTCAGGAAGGGCAAAGCCGCCTGCACGCGGTCCATGTTGCATACGCAGCCTGCGGCAGGTGCAGGGTGGGCGGGAGGGGGGGGGGCGTTGAGCGCTGACACCGCAGCCCCGGGCTGCGGAGGCGAGGCGGGCTGCCAGGCGCTCAGCAAGTGTCAAGTAGCAGCAACCAGAGTGCTCCCATGACGCTTGTGATGCACACCCGTGCGTTCCTGCAGGAACCACATGCCATGCAAGCCCAGCCTCGAGTCTGGTTTGCGAGCGCCATACGATGTTGACCCACCAACCCCCACTCCCCTGAGCAGCCGCAGCCCCTCACCTGCGCTGGGGTCCACCCACCACTTCTCTGACCGAAGGTCAATGCAGTAGATTGGGCACCCGTTGGGGTTCAAGATCTGCCCCTCAATCGCGTTGGTGACGTCCGTGATTGCGCCGACCAGTGGGTTCGAGCTGCCGTTTGGCAGCAGCTGCGGCAGCCCTGGGATCGTGATGTTGGCCGGCAGGCCGGGGATCGCCGACGGGATCGCCGACGCGGCCGCGTTGATGCCCTGCGCGATGCCCTGCGCCAGCTGCCCGAGGCCGCTCAGCAGGGGCACAGACTGCTGCAGCCCCCGGCCGGCCGCGCCCGCGCCCCCGACAGCGAGCAGCGCCCCGACGGTCTGGCCGGCGCCGGCGGCGTCAGCCTCCTCCAGCAGCCTGCGGCCGCCGATGCTGGGCAGCGACTCGAGCAGGCCGGTGAACCGGTCCGACAGCGCGCGCGACGAGTCGGCCACGCGCGAGACGCTCGACCAGACGGGCCCGATGAGCGCGACGGCGCGCGTGCCCACGATGTCGAGCATCTGGGCCATGTAGCCCCAGACCGCGTGGCCGGCGACAGACACGACTATGAAGACCACGATGATCCAGAGGAGGGCGTGCGCGACGGCGCTGAGGGCCTGGAAGCGGCGGCAGCACGTGCGCCAGTGGGCGTCTGGGGAGGATGGGGAAGAGGGGTGGGCGAGGGGGGTGTCAGTTTCGGGGCGCCGGGTTGGGTCGGGGAGAGGTGACTGGCGGGTCGGTGGCGCCGGCGTGGGCGCCGTCGCGCCGAGGCGGGCAGCGCGCCCCGGGGCGGGCACACGACAGGCCCCGGCGGCCGCGCTCCGCGCGCTGCGGCCGCCCGCGCCCGCGCGCGCTCACTGGGCCGGTGGATGTCGAGCGTCTTTGCCAGATAGGCGCGCCACGCGCTGACGAGGACGGCGAGGGTGACGAAAAAGGGGTACAGCACCGCGGTCACCACGAGCAGCGCCTTGATGGCGTCCCACCTGCAGAGCGCAGACGGCGATCGAGTGACACCGGCGTCGGCTGCGCTGGGACATAGAGTGGACACTCCCCTGTCCCCAAATCCACATCCAAATCCACCACAAAAGCACGAGGCACAAGGTTTGTGGGCAGGCGAGGAAGCCAGGATTCCGGGTCAGGCTTCCTCGGTATGTATGCGTTGCAGGGGCCCGGCCCGGCAGGGGGCTCACCAAGGGAAGTGGACCCCCAGGATCTTCATGGCGGTGTCGGTGGCGTTCCTGCCGCGCACCACCAGCACCGCCCAGGCAATGAAGCTGCCGATGCAGGTGAGGGTGGCCAACACCAGGATCCACCATTGAAACGCGGCGCCAGGGCGGCCCCTGTTATTGAGCCGGGGTGCGGAAGAAGTGATGGGTAGGGGGGGTATCAGCATCAGTGCCGCTGGCAGCGTCGGGAGGTGCGGCTTGCTCCAGGACAGGGTACTGGGGAACTCAGGGGAGGGGATTGGATGCGCCGCGGGCAGCTTCCCGCCGGTGCCTGCGGCTCCGCAGCGCCTTCCAACGTGCTTCCCCGACGCTTCCGGGGCGAGCCTAGGGGACTGAGTGGCCCCACGCTGCCTGGTCGCTCACTTCTTGCCGTAACCAAGCGCGTCGGCGATGGACTCGTTCCATATCATCTCGCCGTCCACGTCTGAACCGCCGTTGGAGCCGCCATGGGAGCCCCAGCCGCCGTCGCCCTTAACCAAGCTGTCATCCTTCGAGGGCTGCTCAGACTTGAAAAACGCAAACGGCGCCTTGCGGCGTGGCGGCGCGTCGAGGGTGCCCACCATGGCTGCTGCGGGTGCGGCCGCAGGTGCCGAAGGGCGGAGGGAGGGCCGCGGGGTTGAGGGGCGCTCGCAGCTGCGGGTGGCGGGTGGTCTAGTCTCCTGGTGGGCCGCGTCGCAAGGTCCCGTGCTGGGTGGCGCCTCGCTTCCCACAGGCGCCGCGTGGGCAGCGGTCAGTCTGGTCCGCCGACAACTCTCATGCGCCTGCACTCGGATTGCAACCCAGCAAGAGCGAGGTGGTGCCCGGACGCACTGACAATCCTCCAAAGCCAACCGTCGGGCGTATGACACACAATCACCTGATAGCAGCACAAGTACGACTCAACAGGCTCACGCAAACGGCAAGGGCCCGTCGCAGGAAGCGATCACTGCTCGGGACGCGGGCTGCCTGGAATAGCGCTGCAGGCCGACGGGACCTCTCAAACTTCGGAGCGATAATGTATAATGCATAAGTCACCGGTATCTCTCCTTTATGCAGCGCTGAATCAAGTTTTCTGCCGGGTAGAAGCTAGGGGGAGCTGGCTTGAGCAGAGGTGGTGATAGAGAACTGGTGTACGACCGGCACATGCTGATATTGAGTGAATCCGCAACAGGATTCTGGATATCAAGTCCCATATACACGCTCCTGATGTTGCGAGCGACGGATGTACGAACAGATCACCGGGATTATCTCCGAGTGCAACGGATCCAACGCCAAAGCAAAACTTAGATGCTCGAGATATTCACGTAACTTATTAACACATGTACATCCAGCAGGCAGGCGCTGCATGACAGTCGCGCCTGGGCAAGCGCAACGCAGCAACAAGCGTGCAGCAGTGCGGGCAGCGACGGCAGCCAGCACTGCGACTGATGGCGGACCTGGTAGAATGCCCCGTGTGCGGCCTCTTTCTAGACGTTGGACCCGAAGCAGAGGCGCACGTGGCCGCTCACTTTGACGCCAGCCAGCCCAGTGGCGGATGGCGCCAAAACGGCGCGGCTGTCGGGAGAAACGGCACAACAGGCGGCGACGAGCTGCTGAGTGCCTTGGGCGGCGTAACCTGCCCGCTCTGTGGCGATGTCGTCGCGCTTGCTGACCTGGACTCGCATGACGAGGCGCACAGGTGCGTTAACTAGTCCAGGGCGGCAGCGTCAATTCTGCCCTGGCTTGACAGCATATGGCAGCAAAGTTCTGAGGCCGCAGCACGAAAGCCCACCGTGATATCCTGCATGCGATGCATGGCGCGAGCGGGGCCACCATGGTCTAGCATGCAAAGCATCTCTCCTCAGCGGCTAGCTGCGTTGACGCTTTGCACCTGGCTTGCGCGTGCAAGCGGCTGTGTACTCACCATGCATGCCCGCTGCCCGTTCTTTTAGGTTGCAGCAAACCGAGGCACAACAGCGGGTGGCGGCGCGCGAGGCTGCGGGCAGGGGCGAGGCTGAGCAGTTTGCCGCCTTGCAAGCGATGTACGGCTTCTCAGACAAGGTGCGCCCGCGCACCTGTCCAGGATTGGTGGTTGGCAGACGTGCAACGGCACAGACCAGGCGGCTCAGGGGGAAAACGGTGGGCTGTTTTCATCGATGTGTTGACCGGCAGCTCGGCGCCCATCTGCTTGTGAGCTTGCTCTCTTTGTGTGAATGTTCGTGTCTTCACGTGCCTGCGCCAATCGCGCTATCCCCTTGCAGCCTGCCGCGCGTCCTGGCAGCTGCTACCGCTGCGGCCAGGCCGGCCACTGGGCCAACGACTGCCCCCGCAACCCCGACCGCATCAGGTGGGCTTTTCTGAGGGCCAGCTGTCTGCGGCGCGTGCAGGATCCAGTGTGTAGCAACCCAGGAGCCTGCTGTTGCCAACCTGCCCACGGCCCAAGCATCCTCAGTGAACAGCCAACCACGATGTACAGTAAACTGACATGATATCCTTCTCTTCCCCAACGCCCCCTCGGCAGCGCCGCGCCTCGCCTGCCCACCCAACCCCGCGAGCTGGCGCGGCAGCAGCGGCGCGAGCCGAGCCCCTTGGCCGACGCTGACGTCATCCCGCTGCTCATGGCGGCGCTGGTCTCAGAGCTGCGCGCCCACACCAGCATATACCTCTGCGGTGGGCCGACGCAGGCCGCCTCAGGACGGGTGGGGCTGTTGCATTCTGGATTCGGCCGGACGAGCACTGTGGCATGCTGTTCTGCTGCAGCACGACCGTCTGAGCGACCGTGCCCAGGAAGGCTGCATGCTGTTGGTGCTGGCGCTGACCCGCAACGACGGCCCCCCTCTCGCTCCGTCGCTCGTTCCATCTATAACGCGGCATACACCTCTTTGCCTGCTCCCTGGCGCCGCGCCGCCCCGCCGCCAGGCTACGCCGCGCACCTGTCGCGAGCCGCGCAGGATTCCGGCTGGGGCTGTGGGTACCGCAACCTGCAGATGCTGGCGTCGCACCTGCTGGCGCGACGCCCTGATGCGCGGCGGGTGCTGTTTGGCGGCTGCGGGTGGCTGCCAGACATACGTGAGGACGGGGCTTAGTCAGAGGGGGCTTGGGTATGCTCTCAGCAGAGGCGGGGGCAGCGGACCATGCTTTGTAGCTTGAAGCTGATTTTTTTCTTGCCTGGGGCGGACGCCACAGCTGACAGCCCGCTGCAGCCCCATGTGGCCTGTTTGAAGCCAACCGACCCCCGGCGGCGCGCCCCCGACCCCACCCCTCGTACCTGCCCGTGCCGCGGCCGCGCCGGCAGCCTCGCTGCAGGCCTGGCTCGAGGCGGCGTGGGAGGCAGGCTTCGACCCGCCGGGGCGTGCGCAGTTGGGCGGCGGGGTGCAGGGCACGCCCAAGTGGATAGGCACGCCCGAGGTCGCAGCGGCGCTGCGCCAGTTCGGGATCGACGCCCGCATCGTCGACTTCTGCTGTGGGTCTCTTTTGGCATTGGAATGCGTGGGAGGGTAGGGGCTGGGCACCCGGGGGGCCTTGCCCGTTTGGGCGGCGCCTGCGGGGCAGCGCGTGGGTGGGGCTGTGGCAGCTGCCTGCAGATCATTGCAGGGCGCGCCTCCGTCCCTGAGCCGTTGGAAGCCATGCTTTATTCCCAGGCACTCAAGCAACACGCACTCGCGTGCATGCAACAGCACGCGCATTCGCACCTCGCGTGTCGAAGCGTGCGCGCCCTCCATCGCGCGCAGGCCAGGCGTCCACCTCAGCGGACGCGTCTGGCGCCACCGTGCACCTGAACGTCGCCTGCGACCTGTGCGGGGCTTCGCCGCTGGTGGGCGTGCGCTACAAGAGCACCGTCAAGTCAGACTTTGACGTCTGCTCCCGCTGCTTTGCGTCGCCTGCCGCGGCCGCGGCGGCGCCATACCTTCCGCTCGGGGACGCCGGCGGCGGCAGCGGAGGAGGAGGAGGCGGAGGAGGAAGAGGGGGCGGAGCGAGGGGGAGTGGGGTCGGCCGCAGCGAGGGGGACGGAGGGGCCGGCGGCGGCGGGGTGCGGCGGCAGCGGCTGCCCCCGAGCGGCAGCGGCTGCGAGGGCGGGGGGAACGGGCTGGACCTGGACGACTCTGGGGCCGAGGCAGAGGGTGCCTGCGGGGCGGCCGCGGGCGGCCGAGGCGCAGGCGGCGGCAGCAGAGGCGGCAGGGGCCGCCAGGGCGGCCGGGGCGCCGGGACTGGCCCCGCGCCGCAGCGCCACAAAGCGCTTGTGCAGTGGGTGTGGGACTATTTCAGCCAGGGCCCGCCGGGTTCCAGCGGCAGCGGCGGCGGCGGCGGCGGTGGCAGCGGCGGCAGCGGCAGCAGCGGCGGCGGCGGAAGCAGCGGCGCGCTCGCGCAGCTGCGCGGCTCGCCGGTCACCGTGACGCGCCACGCGCCACTGTACCTGCAGCACGAGGGCCACAGCCGCACGGTGGTTGGCGTGGAGCGGCACGCGCCGCCGGGGGCGGAGGCGGCGCACCGCCTGCTGATCCTGGACCCGGGGCATGACGCGCAAGCCCTGCGGGAGGCGCTGAGGTGGGCTGCCCTCGGCGCTGCGAGGACCTGAATCGGGACAGAACAGTCCCTCGAGTTCGCCCAGCCGCCATGGTTGATCCCAGGCCTCGTGTGTGTGCTCTTGCAGTCGCAACTGGCTCGCGCGTTTCCTCACCCTCGCCGCTCCCCCGCGCACGGCGCCCTGCGCCCCCTGCCCGCCGCTCGCAGCAACCGCAAGGGGTGGCAGCGCCTCGTGAAGCGCGGCCTCCACGCGCTGCAGCGGCCCGAGTTCCAGATCTTATACGTCCCCGACGATGGCGGCGGCGGCCCGCCGCCGTTTGCGGGGGGGAGCCGTGAGTTCGAGGCCCTGAAGGTGATCTCTGCGGCCGACAAGTTTTATTCGTGACACCATCTGGCACGGAGGGTATCGTATCCCCGCCCGCCCTCCGCAGCAGGTGTGCCGCGGGTGCGGTCCGCTGTGCAAGCGGCCCGGCTGTGCATTATGGCTGGCGGGGGGCTTTTGCCCCGCTGCGGATGATTTGTCTCAGAGCAGCTGTTTCAGTCCTCCCGTATGGCCGCCGCCGCTGCCTGGCGCCCCACAGGCTCTGGCAGGCCTGCGCAGCTGGCATGCACTCGTGCAATGTCTCTTGTGGCTAGGCTTCTTTGCAATGCAGCCACAACTGCGTTTGCCCCTCCTCTGCGATGTGGAAGCTGCTTGAAGTGTAGATTGGCGTTTATGTTACAACTCAACCATATCCCTGCTGCTGGCTGCAATTGTCCTACAGCCGGTGCATCAGCACATGTAATCACACGCACGCACACACACAGAAGCACACACACGCACACACAAGCACACACACACACACACACAAACACACACACACACGTGGTCGCGCGCACCAAGTCCGATTGCCGGGTGTGGGTTCCGCTTGGCAATCGATTCGTGTACACTGCCTGCAAGCGGCAATACTGGGGCCATGACACGGACAGGCAGGTCGCTGCTCATTTGGTAGGGCTACCTGACCTGCAGCTGCTGCTTCTGCTGCTGCGCTGCTCCCCTGCTGCCGTAAACCATAAAGAGATTGCAGTCCTTGAATCGCGGCTCCTTGTAGACCGCCACCCGGTCAAACCCCTTCGACAGCAGCAGCTTCTCGACAGCTGCCACGCGACCGTCAATGTCGTGAACCTGGCGGACGGATGGAAGCTCTGCACATCATGGTTTGGGACCCTCTTGAAAGGCTCTCCAAGTGATGACGGACGCAAGAGGTAACACGCAACGTATTTGCCTCGTCAGCAGACCTGAAGCTTTGCCACGCACACGCATACACCAGGGCCCGCTCCCCTGTCACGCCTGCAGCGTCCTGTTCGCAGGCCGCCGGCCCCCACCTGCAGCGACACCTGGCGTATGCGCGGCCAGTGCTCCTCCCTCACTCCCATCAGCACGTCCCACTCGGCGCGCTCCACATTGGCCTTCAGCAGACCAACCTCCCTGGGGCGCCGCGCCAGCGCCGCGGGCGACCCAATTGGTGGTCCGGGACGTGGTGCCGGCGCGCGAGGCAGCAGCTGGGCCGGTCGGCCGGCTGACTGCACGGTCAGTTTTCCTGACCCTTAAAATGATTGTCCCAGCTTCCCAGCCACCAGCCCTTGCATCTCACTTGATGCCAAAATCTTCTATGAGGCCGGAGACTGTGGTCATGGGGCAGGCCACAGGCACCGCCGGCCGCAGCAGCAGGTTCACAAAGGCAGCCTTGTGGATTAGCCGGTAAAGGGATGGCATGCAGCTGGGGGGAGGGAAATGTGACGGGATTGGGAAGGAGTTGAAGGGGGAGGGCAGATGACGAATGGCTGCGTCGCAGGGCGCCGCGCCAGCCATTGCCCTCTGAGCGGAGAGCTACTACACGGGTTGGAACAAACGTGCCGTAATTTGCCAGTGTGCGTGACAAAGTGCATCCGATTGTGATCGGGTCGTGGGTGGAGGGCCTGAGGTCGGCGCGGCCCCGCACCGCGCGAGGGCCTTCCCGGCGTCCTCAATGGGTGAGAAGCTCTCCCGCCTGTTGACCACCAGGCTGAGGGTGGCCTGGGCCGCATCGTAGTCATCCCTGGGAGGAGGGTAGTCGCATCACACAATGATGGCCACAGTGCATTAGATGTCAAATTGGTGGGCAGGTGGCCGCAAGGTAGCAAAGTATGCCTTTTGTAATGAGGACAGCCATACACGCCAGGTTGCGCCTTCCCCTGCCTCTACATTTGCCGTTACATTGCAATATACTCGCGCATTAGGCGTCCACTGCATAACACAACACCACAACAGCACCGCGCAGGTGCACACCCCCCCCATACACACACACAGGCTAAACACCCGTTGGCACCTGTACATGCTGCTGAAGGCAGTGATTTTAGGGTAGTAGGTGAACTCGCGCACAGAGGGGCCGCCAAGGGCGCCCACGCCTGGCATACACACATGAAGCAGTGGTGGTGGTGGTTCCGTGACAATTGTACGAGCAGGCGGACGGGGGCCCCCGACACGCCAGGCCCCCGCAAGACACCAGGGCTGCGCGCGAGATTGAGGCAGGCAATGTGCCGGCGCGGCACGCCTCACCTGCGTGAACGGGCACCACGCTGCCCGCCGCCACCTGGTGCGCGTTGGCCCACTCTTTGAAGCGTGTGTTGTTGAGCCGCAGTGCCCTGAAGACGCCCTCTATGGGCTCTACCGCATATACAACCCCCTCTGGCCCAATCACGGGCGCCGCCATGCGCGCAAAGGCGCCAACGTTTGCACCTAGATCCAGGACAACATCGCCTGCGGGATGGGGGCATGGGTGAGCAAAACGGGAGTGTGTGCAGGCCTTCCATCTGGGCGCCTTGCTGCGGTGCTTGCCGCACCGGCAAGTGCATGGCAGGGATTGCGCGACCAGGTTGCAAAGCCTTTTGAATACACTTTGCAGCACTAAAATTCCCGGTGTACATCCGCGCAACAGTTCGCACCCTGCTGAAGCGCCACAGCGCCGCGACCGAAGTACACCTGGCCGGCCTCGTTCGAGTGCGCCTCCGCCTGTGCATCCGCCGGGCTCGGCGCGTACAGCACCAGGCCACCTAATGCCTTGAAAGGTTTCAGGCCTCCAATCCTAATATCTACGTCCACAACCCCTTCCTGTTCCGCTGCTGTCTGCTGTCTCCGCTTGCGCATGGCTGGACCGCTGCGTGAGTGCTGCGTATTCAGTTGGGTTGCAGATGCTTAAGTAGTCTTGTAGCCTCAATCTCGCGCTTTTGTATGGAGGGAACTCGGTGCTGGAAAAGCTGCCAGCGGGGTGGTTCGCAGTGGTCGATCCAAGACTTCTGGCCTACGGTAGCCGCGGGCGTTATGTTATGAGATTTGATATATACACAATGATAATGACCATATGATCGAAAGACCAGATGAACACATTGCCCAGCAATCGTGGCACTTGACACACCAGCTCATGCTGCAGCACGAGCTCAGCTCGAGCTGCCGATGTTGTGCACGCTGGCCCGCACTGCCCGTGGCCCTGCCCAACATGTGCAAGGCTGTTACACAAAATTCACTGGCCACATGCAACCCTATACATTGAGGCCAGCCGATCGTGCACACAAGCGACACAACCGACAACACCCTTCACAAGTGCAAGAAAGCAGGTGTGCGGGTACAGCGACGAAAGCCACAGGCCACCTGACCCGCGTTATACAGGTGGAACCTCGACATGGGGGTGAGTGGAAATAGAAGCCAGAGGCATTATGTGCCTTGTCGTCGCCGAATCGAGACCAGAAAGCAGTGGGCGCTTGCGTTCAGCCCAGGCCCATTGTCTCGCGCTCATGAGTGGCGGCGGCCTGTTTGCAGGCCATGCATTCGCGAGGAAGAAAAACACACATCAGCAGCCACCAGCCTACACGGACGCGCACGCGTCTGCTCGCACTACACACAAAATTGGGAGCAGCGGCGGCTCAAAAACTTCGGAGCGTGGGGCGCCAGGGCGCCCATCACTTGTACACCTGCGCAACCCCAGCGTTCATCTCCCACTCGGCAGTCGTGCGGGTCCAGACCGCCAGGCCGCCGCTCCGCCCGCGCGCCACGATGATGTCACCATCAGCATAGGCATACAGGAAGAAAGGCAGCGCCTTGCGCTCGCTACGGGTGGGTGGAAGGGGGACAAGCCTACGGTCAAAAGGTGCCAGACAACCGCCGCTGCTTGCAACAAAGTCATCACATTACGGATCGGGGAGTGGTTGGCCCATCGCAGTTGCAGCGTCCCCTTGCTTGATCGAGTGACCAGCCTCTCCATGGTGACTGCTGCCTGCCCTTGCAAACACATACGGTATGCCAGCCGCTCACGAGTCTGGCAGCTGGTCCAGCGGCTTGGCGTCCTTCTTGAGCGCGATGCTCCAGCGCCACGGCCCCAGCCCAATGTTCATGCTGCGCACGTCGAAGCTGAGCTGGCGGCCAGCCATGGTGTAGGGGCCGTTGAATGTGAGGGAGGCGATGGGGCCCAGGAAGACGCCGTTTTCAAAGTCCTTTGTTACAGGGTCGAATTTCTGCAGGGGATGGTGAGGCACAGATGATAGGGCCTCGACCTCGTGTGGTCGCCGGAGCAGGGCCGGCGCAGGGCCGGCGCAGGTGGGGGGTAGCCAGTGCAAGCGGCGTTCAAAGCGCGCGCGCAGGCGGGCGCCCACCTGGACAGCAGGGATGGGGAAGAATATGCCGCCCTTGCTGGGCTGCTTCTTCTGGCCCGCCTGCACCTGCTTCGAGTCTGGAGTGAGAGCAGACAATGCATGGAGTATGGCGTGTGTGGGAAGACGAGGAGAGAGCGCAAGCGCACGTGTGTGTGTGTGTGTGTGTGTGTATGTGTGTTCAAAGCAATCAGAGCAAAAGCCTCACGGAGCTCCCCCACACTGGGGTTGTCAGAATTATTTCAAAGCTGCCGGTGCTTCCCTGTGCATGACACAGAGAACTGGGGTACGTCCACAGCGCAGCTTGCGCACGCGTGGCTCGTCGTCACAGCCGCCGGGGCGGCGGGGCGCTGCTTTGCATCCCATCCTCTCACGCATACAGCGCGTCGGGAAATCTCACCAGCCGTAAATATCAGCCGCCAGCGCGCCCGTGGGGCCTCGATCGAAGCCAGCCAGGGCTCTGGGCTCAGCTTGGCCCGCTCCAGCTCCAGCATGGCGGACAGCATGGCGGGCGCCGGGACGCTGCCGGGCTGCGCGACGCCCCTCTTGAGTGCATCGATCGCTGCCGCAGGCGCAGCAGTGCCTGAAGGACATGAGCAGAGGAGGCGCGCATATGGTGTGCAAGGGAGAGGACACGGGGTGTGCGCCTGCTGCGGCGGTCGGCATGGGTCGTGCCGCTTACGCACTAACGCCCTGGGTGGCCACGACATGACACCCCAAGCACTTACCAGTTGATGCTGCTGCACGGACGACGACCGCGGGGGATCTGCGTCGAGGATGGATGATGCAGCTTGCATTGTTCCGGGCGATCTACATGAGTCCCCTCAGCGCAATCTCACAGAACGAATGTAGCGTATGCCTCTCACCGCCTAGCTCCAGGGTGCACCAGCGCAGGGGGGCGACTAGAGGCCAACATGGTTGCAGTGGGTGGGGGGCAGGGCAGAGCCACAATGGTGAAGTCGCTGCCTTACTTGCACCCTTATGAGTGACTCCTTACAGTGTGGCAACAGAAGTCGCGATCCGCAAGGCTTCTGACCACTGACTGTTTGGAGAGCAGACCGGTTCTTCCTCGGGCGCCACTTGGCGCTGATGTCGGCTCTGTGTGGCACCACACCCAAGCCAGCCAGCAAAACAGGCTCCTTGGCGGCACGGCTCTGCGGTGTGTCGCCCTCACTGCATCCCATCAAAAGTGCCTGCTCATCGCACTGCTTGACCGCAGCCTCACCCCCTGGCTGGGTGGTTCGTGGTGGTGGGGGCAGGCACGCCAGGCGGCCTGCCCTGTTGCCATGCCGTCCACGCCCCATGGGACGGCTAAGCAGCAGACCCGGACACTTCCTGTGCAGCGCAGGAGGGAAGGTCTCCAAGTACGCCTCTGTACCGCCCCCACATGCCGGGTGACCAGGAACACTGACGCGGATTATGATACTTGATGACAGATTAATGGTGGCGCGTTTTGCGCATGTCACGCGATGCAGGCATTATGGACGTCGTGCAGGGCCCGATGCATTTAGGGCCCCTGATGAGGATAAGGTTGATGCGTCCGTTCGCAACTGCCGCTGCACTGTTGGCAAATAAACATAGCAAGCTTAGAAAAAAGGGGGCACCGACGATGCGCAAAGACACACACATCGCGGCAAGGCGGCCGCCAGCACAAGGTAAGGCCGCCGGCGCTATCACTGGCCCGGCGCCACCGTTGCCGGCGCCGGCCGTTGCGCGAAGCCCCGCCCAGTTTGCGAAACGCGCCACCAGCGGCACACGCCACCACTGCGACTAGTCCTACCCAGCAAGGCGCCCTGAGACAGTACTTTCACGGGCGCATTTGACGACGCAACACATGCTTCAGAAGGCACACAGGCAAGGCACGTAGGGGAGGAACATTGCTTCGGTTGAGACGCGCGCCGCCGGGATGGGAGGGGCGGCGTTGCCGCGCCCGGTGGTGTGATGCGCCGGCGGATGGGACAAGATGTTGGTAGAGATGAACGGGGCCGGTTGCAAGCCCCTCGGTTCTCGACGACAACATGAGGGGGCGCCGCCGGGCGCGCCGCGGGGAGCACTGACATGCCCACCCCCCTGCGCGCGCGCCGGCGGCGCGTCGGAGGTGCGGCGGCGCGCGCGCGGGGCCCGCGTGCTGCGGCGGGGCCCCCGCGCGCGCGCCTGCGGTGGTCGGCTCTCGCCTTGTCCCGTCAGCAAGTGTTCTGGCCCAATTCCCAGGAGCTTCGCTCGCGTGGGTCACCCTGGAAAAACCTGTGAGGGGGGCTGGGAGCGTCCCCAGCCCCCGGGGCGCCCGCCTCGTGCGGCGGCGGCCCATGCTGCGTGTTTGCGGCCGCCGCGCTGCTCAGCGCGGCGGCCCGCGGGCGCGGGGGGAGGCGGCGCTTCCGCTCAGCTCCTCTGCTGCTCGCGGCCGTCGGTCCTCTGGGAGGGCTCCCCCATTTTCTGGCGACCGGGAAGCTTCATGGGCGGGTGGTCGACGACGCGGAACTGCGAGGAGGCCACGAGTGACGGCCAGGGTGAGGTGTCGCACGTTTGACTGTGCACGCAATGTCCGTTGACTGCAAGAGGCCATCCGCAAGGGGCGCGGCGGGTACCCAGCCGCCCGGCAAGCATGACTGCACGGGCGGCCCCCTCACCGTCTTCATCGCGCGCAGCGCCGCCTCGCGCTGCTTCTCAGCGCGCGCCCGCGATATGATGCGCGCCTCCAGGGACTGCGAGTTGCCTGCGGGGCCAAAGGGAAACCGGGCGTCGCAAGCACAGGGTCGGCGGTGGCGCATCGCATGGATCGGGGTGGGCCACCAGCCGCGGGCAAACGCCTGCCCCAGGTCGCGCCAAAAGCACGTCCTGCCGCACCACCGCTCGGGCCGCGACCGGAGGGGCACCCGCAACGCGCGAGGGCCGCTCGTCCCTCCGTCGCGCGTGGGGCCTCACCGCTGATGACGGCTTGCGTGGTGTCCGCCTCGATGCGCAGCTTGAGCTGCACAAACAGCTCCTTGGCGCGGTCGTACGCACCGATGCCCCTGGCGGTGGCGGGGCGGGACGCCAGAGCTTGTTGGGCCAAATTAGGGCACTAGAAGTGCGCGTTGTCATGCCGTGCAGCTCTCCGGCTGCAGGACGGCATTGCCGCTGGGCGGAAACTGGAGCAGTGGCCGCCAAATCTGACTATTCGCAACTCACTTGTGCATCTCAATGTCCGCGTGCAGGCGCATCCAGGGGTGGTCCCTGATCTGCGCTGCTGTCACGTAGTCCTCGTCAGCAATCGCCACCTGCACATGGGCGGCGCGGGCGACGGGCGCGGCGAGTAAGCGGCAGGGAGCGGTGCAAGCCAGTTCACAGAGGTCGCAGGCTCGGGCAACACGCTCAGCAACCCTGGAGGCTGCAGACATTAATCGAAACAGGGGAAACAGGGCACCCTCAGCTCACTGCGCGCCCTCCACGCGCAGGGCAGATGCCTGTCTCTGCGTGCGTATGCAATGGTGTTACCCCCACAACACATACACGCACAACTCGAACAGGGGCCGCGACCGCGCGCCCCACCTCCATATCGCGCAGCAGCAGGGAGATGGGCAGCAGCAGGCTGCTGTCTGGCAGCTCCGCAACGCCAGCCGCCACGGGGGTCGCCGAGGGCGTCGCGGTGCCGGAGGTCGAGCTGCGCCGCGGCGGCAAATTTCAAGGGGGTGTGCAATGCAAGCAGAGCGCGGGGCGTCAGGCCGATTGCGCGCATGCACCGCACGTTAATCAAGGGCACGTCGAGCATGCGGCTCATCAGTTTCATGGGGCACGTTGACCACACGTCCCAAGAGGCGGCGCCATGGCCACTGCAGTGCAGGTGCGTGGCAAGCAGCATCACCTAGAGGCGGCGCCCTTCTTGGCCTCCTCCTTGGCCGACTGCGAGTGCAACTGCTTGATGTACTCAAAGGCGTGAGTGTCCCGCAGCCGCGTGGCGGCCTCGTCCCACACGCGCTTGTGGACGTAGATGGGGGCGCCAGACTGTGATGGGGGGAAGGGGCAATTCAGGAAGGTTGAGGTAGAAGTTTGAGTGGATAGATCGGTGTTCACGACCCTAAGGCAAGCGAGCTATTCACAACACGTAGGCCCCTGCAGCCGACACACTCATGAGGGCGCTCTGGCCGTAAACAGCATGTGCCCGCACCTTCATTGCCAAAAATGTCGCGTCAGAGGGGCGGCAGTCGCAGTCCCAAACAGGCTGGCCCGTCACGCGGTCGCCTGGCAGAGGGGGTGCAGGCAAGGGTGGTTGGCGCAGGCCGGAGGGCGGGCGCCGCAGGGAGGCCGAGGGGCGCAGCAGCTCGTGTGCGGTTTCAGGGTGGGATTGCTTGTCACGTCTGCAATCGCCTACCTGGGACTCAACAAAATCTGCTGTTCACGATGATCAGTCAAGTGGCTGTGCTCCTGGGCACGGTCGGCAGGCCAGCCGACCTAATTTGACCTCAGCAATTCAAACGCTGGCCAAGCTGTCGCTCGCGACGCGCGAGCACTGCCAAAACCTCCCTGAATGCGCTCACCGAAAAATAGCCGCGCCACAAACACGTCATTGGTGAGCTCTACCACGCCCACCCGCAGCAGCTTCCAGTCCGCCTTGCCCGACTGCCACATCTGAGGGAGCGCCAGGAGCAGCCGCCGCAGCGGCGGTTGGCGATCTGATCCCAGACCGCATCACCGATCGCCCC